TGCCAGGCAGGCGCTTTTGCCACTGAGCTAAATCCCCAGCCCCTCTATTCAGGTATATTGTTAAGTGATGAAAACTAAGTGTTTAGTCAACCTTTTACCACTAGAATGAAATATTTGAAATAATTCACTTAAAAAGAGAAAAGTTTTATTTTGGTTCACAGTTTTGGAGCGCCCAGTCCATGATTGATTGGCCCTATTGTTTTTGAGCCTTTGGCAAGGCAGCATATCACAGCAGGAGTCTGTGTTAGAGCAAAACTGCTCACCTTATGGCCAGTAAACAAAGAGAAAGACAGCACAAGCAGGTAATCCAAAAACCCCCATTCAGGGGTACGATGCCAGTGATGTAAGGACCTCCCAAAGGCCCCAACTTCCTAAGGCTCCAGCACCTCCCAATACTGTAGCTTAGCCTGGGGACTGAGATTTTCATACATGGACATTTGGGGGATATTCAACATTCAAATGATAGTGCCAGGTGAAGTGTTTATAGTATCCTAACTTTAAGAAAGGCCTAGAAATATAATATGTGAGTGAATATATGTATTTACTTGTATTTAACATTTTTATTTATATGTTTTAAAATGTAAAACTAAATGAAGAATTAATAAAAAGGATTACCGGTAGGGAAAAGGAGGAACCAGGTTAGAAAGGTTAGGTATGGAAGTAATATTTCTTTGAAAGTGTTTATATTTCTTTATTAAAAAATCACGAGGAAAATTTATTTTTATTTAGGTAAAATTATCTGTTAAATAACATTTCATTTTAATAAAATTAAAGGCATTTTATTTAAATGTCTTTAACAATTTTAAAACAAAATTTAGTCAAAAGAGAAAAATACAATTCTGGAATATTGAAAAACAATGCATTTAAGTGCCTGTCAAACTGGTAGCATAAAGTTAGTGCTGTAATGAGCTATCTAGACATCCTTCAGGAATTAGGGACATAATCCACCAGCTGCTAGAAGTGCTGCTGACAGGGAGAAGTCAGCTGTCAGCCCTTTCTAGGAAGCCTCTGAAAAGCCCTGCCTACCCAAAGTCCCACTCCCTTTTTAAGGTACCCTACATCCAATTACTGGTGCATGTAGGGATAGAAAGAACCAGTTCTCTTAGCTGAGCATGGTGGTATATGCTGTAACCCTAGCATTCTGAGGCAGGAGGGTTGCAAGTTCTAGACCAGCCTGGGCAATTTAACAACTTAGCAAAAACACAACACAACACAACACAACACAAAACAACACAGCACAAAACAGAAAACAAAACACGCTGTGGATGTATCTTACTGCAAAAGCCCTGGGCTCAATCCCCAGTACTGCAGAAAGAAAAGAAAAGGCACAGTCCTCTTGCCTCTCCTGGAACAGATCTGAAGTGCCTTCCCAACCTTACAGCTTCCTAAAGGGACTCAAAAGCCTCTGCTGAGACTACATTGCAGCCAAACCTTTCCCTTTGGCTATTTCTGGCCCTTCCCTCAGGTGTTGATCCCAAGAGCACTAACACATTTTCTGCATATTAAACTCCATCTCAGAATATGCTTCATGGGGAGCCCGGCTGTGACACTTGGCATCAGGAATGGTTAAGACAACAGTTATGATAATGGGATTTCCACTTTGGATTTATCTGCTCCCAGGCTAGCAAAGAGACTATCATTACTGGTGGCAAAAACAACACAGATAGTTCCTAGTACAATTGGATTGCAATTGTTAAAATGTTCATTATTGGTGAACTGTATATTCTGGCAGGAAGCAATACTCTGGTGCAATGTATCAGGTATTTGAGATACATATAAAGGAGACACCTGGGTGGGCTGATGCTACTGTACGATCTTTGATACTTTGAAGAGATCTATTGAGAGGCTGCGGATGATTAATTTGGCAACTAAATACTAAGCATGAAAATCATTACCTTGGTAAATAAACAAATAAATACGACTAATTTTTTTGTAAGTAGAGGGTAGAAAAAGCTGAGGACCAGGTCCATTACTTCAATATCAGTATAGCAGAGTCTCAGAGAAGATTAAATTCTTAATATTGGCAAGTCTAAGAGGAATATTGGCAGTGCTAAGAGGAAAAATGCTGATTGGGAAAGAGTGGGACCTTAACATATGGGGTGATGACATCTGGGATTGTGTGCTCCATAATTTTCAGTCCCCCAAATTCCCCCAACTCTTCAGATCTCACTGATGCTCCTCCCCTGGTCTCTGCTCCCTATCCGCTATGAAGTGAGCAGCTTTGCTCCATCATGCCTTCTGCATTGGAGCTCTTTAAGATGCACTGAACACTCCGAAACCCTCAGCCAAGCGATTATTTCCTCCTTCAAGTTGTGTGCGTCACACATCTTGTCCCAGAAATGGCAAGACTGACACAAACAAGCACAAAATTTCCTGGCCTTCAGTTTGTGATCCTTATGAACACACACATGATTTATGGGGCAATCTTAGCATTTCTCTGTTGGTTTCTTTACACTTTAGTTCTTCCCTCTCCCCTAGTTCTGTTGTGGATCTCAGATTTCTGAATCAAGAGGGATGTAATTTCCAAATTCTTTCCGCTCCTACCTAGTTGGCACTTGTGAGGGGTCAGGAAATGCTCCTTGTAGGTGACAACGACCACGGGAGAAAGACCTCCAACAACCAGAAAACCAAGCCGTCTGTCATAACTACAATCGTTCGTAGTTTTCAGAATGCCTCCTCATATTCCAGAAAATGCTTCCATTTAAAGTTCAAAGACAAGACTAACATGGGCCCCCAAGTAACGTGCATACTTTATTTCTACATTTTATTTTTTAAAATTGCAGTATAGACATACACAATGAAGAAAAAACCCTCATGTCACCATCTGAACATACAGATTTTGATCATTTTGATCATTTTCAATTCCTCTCCGTTTTCCAGCTGCCGCGCACCCGCATCTCTGCAACCTTGACCTTCGCGCGCAGCCGGAACCTCTGCGCCGGGGGCGGGGCTGCCGCTCCCGGGCGCGCCGTCGCCATGGTAACCGCGGAAGCTGGGCCGAGGGAGCGGTGAGTCGGGGTCCTGGCACAGAGGGCCTGGATGGGCGCTGGGTGGGTTGGGAACGGGCAGGTAGGCATATTCCTTCTAGGCTGCTTGGGCAAGACTGCAGGGGCGTGGGTTTCAATCGCAACGGCCTCAGCCTCTTCATCCGACTTGAGCTTTGCGCACCCGTCTGTATCCCGCGGGCGGCCTCCAGGGACCCTAAGTTGCGGAGGATGCAGGCCCTAGGCCAGCCCCCACGCCCACGCCCTCCACACCGGACCTCCGCTTTCGCGCAGCGGAGCTGTCCCTAGGTTCTGCTGCACAGGCCTTCCCTTTGTGCAACGCTGGGTACTCAGAGCTGCGGGATTTGGAGTGAAGATTCTCCTAGGGCTGAAATATCTTTAAAAGATTGCATTTTTTTTTTAAAAAAGAAAATTAAGACTTGGTTTTAAAAACCTTTCAGGATCGACTTCCTCGATCACAACTTCAGGCTGCCTCATCTGCTTCTTGCCCGTTGTTTATGCTGTTCTCATTGTCTGATTGCTCCTTTTCGGATGCCTTCCACTTTGCCTTAGAGGCCAAGGCAGCCTAGATCCAAGTTCAAACCCAGCCTGGGCAATTTAGCGACTTAGCAAGACCCTGCCAAAAAAGGGGGAGGGGAGGAGAGCTGGGGATAGAGCTCAGTACCAACGGCCTGGATTCAATCTTTAGTACAGCAAAAACCAGACTCCTTTCACTCTTGGATATCAGAAGTGTCGCTCTCCTGTAGAAGCCCTTCTGGGACCTCCCCACCTGGAGGCTGATGTAGATGTCTTTACTCTCAAAGCACTCTGCCAGCCGTCCTGCATCGCTTCTCTCACTCGTGATTGCTGATGCTCTGTGTCTTCTCCACGAGGCCCTAGGCACAGGGACCTTGACCTATATGATTCTTTTATTACTGGGGCCTCAGCAGCCTCAAAAGTGTTCACAAAGGGAGGCAGAAAACGTTGTGCCCTCATTTCAGAAAAGTCATAATAAATGAGCCAGGATTGAAACTATGCCTTGGTAGGCATATGCTCCCTGCCCAGCCCCAGGCTCACCCCTTCCTTCCTGCCGGTGCTCTTTCTCTGCGAAACTTGTGTGCTATTAGCAGGGTTACAGTTTTATTTCATGTTATTATTGGTGCAGGCAGAGAAAATCATTTTTGTCTACAACTCATCTGTTTTCTTCTATGAGCCCTCGTTTATTGACTGTTAGGATGGAAATAATCTAAATGTCCACTTGGTTTTAAGGTTAAGCTCCACTGTTACTGACTTCTTCGGCTAGTTTGATTTCTTTCGTATAAAAATGTGGAGGTTCTTAGCTAACTTCTCTGATTCTCTCCTTAAGATGGTGCCCTGGGTCTATGGATGGATGTGGAAGGCTCATAAATCAGTTATGGGGCAATGCTTGGCTCCTTTTGCCATCTCTGTGCTCTGGGGCAGCATTCCAGGTACAGTGGGTGCTCCTTGCCCACACAGCACTCTTGGTTATGATCTGTGGCTCACGTGCCTTTGAACAACTTTGTTCAGGACTCAGTGAGCCTTCTGGGCTCGCTCAAGTGGCCCTGGGCTCCTGCTGAGACTTCCCTTCGGTCCTGGCTGGAGTGTTTTGCTGAGCACTCTTCCCTCCTACAGAGCCTCCTGGCCAGCTACAGCACCCAGGCAGGGGCAAGACTCTTTGCTACAAGGTCTCACGCACGTCCTAAAGTAGTAGTCCTCAGAGTTGACCTTGGGACTGCATTACATTCTGTGTTAGTTACATTTCTCTCATTGCTGAGACAACGTAGCTGACACTGAAAATTAAAGGAGGAAAGGCTTATTTAGCTCACAGTTTGTAGAGGTTTCTGTCCATAGTTGGCTGGCGCCACAGCAGGGTGGCACGTGGCAGAGGGACAGCTGTTCATGGCGGCAGAAGATAACAAAAGCAACAAGAGAGGAGGAGGAGAGAGACAAGATTCTGCCCCTTATATGATATTGTGTGCAGGCTACCTGCTCTAGGGCAGGTGTGGCACTCACAACCTTAAGCATAGACAGAACTATGCCAAACCAATCAGTGGACTGATTTATTAGTCACACACTCTTGATCCCAGTATCACACACTCTAGATTCAACCATCTCTGGTAAAGCCCTATGCCAGCAGGAGGCTTTGAGGGGCCATCTAGACATAAACCATAACACACTCTTGGATATTAGTGATCTCAAAGAGCTTTAGTATTAGAAAGATAGAATTGGAAATTAAACTAAGAATCTAAAAATGTTTAATACATCCTTAAAAACAACAAAACACCTGTTAACATGAATTACATTATTTCTCATGACAAATCATTTTTCTTAAACAAAAAAATTAGAAAATGGCGTTGTTACATGTTTTCCCAAATGTCTTTAATTTCTGGCTCAATAAATTCTCATGTTTGTTTTGGCAGTCAGTTTGTTGCAATGTATTCTCTGAGTTGAAATATACATACATATATATTTGGAAAAGGGAGAAGTACTTTAATAGATTTTTTGATAACTGAGCTTTTTTTGGTGACCAAAACTTGACAAGTGGTTGTTTATTCAACTTAATTGCAATGTTGAATGTGAAGCCATATCAAGAAACTTTTTCATATGTTACATTAAAACCTATTGATCTGTGTTAAACTTTTTTTTTTTTTTTTGGAGAGGCTTGCTCTCACTATGTTGCCCAGGTTGGCTGTGAACTCCTGGGCTCAACTGATCCTACTGCCTCAGCCTGCTGAGTAGCTGGAACTATAAGTGTGTACCACCATGCCTGGCTTGTCTTACACTTTGAATGTGTCTTTTACTCATGCCTGATTTTGTAACATGTAAAATGGTGGGAAACAAAGGAGGTTTTTAAAAGGAGTACAGCAGTCATTGGTAAAATAATGGTTTATTTAGTTATGGCAATTTTCCAAATATTAGCATGCTTTGTGTGAAATATTTTCTTTTTTTGACTTTATGAAAAAATAAAACAAAATTTTATAACAAAATAATAAGAAAATAATGATAACAAATACACCATGTATTGTTATCTTCAAAGCAGTTACTCGGAGTACAAGACTTGGACAAAAAAGATTCCTGTGAGAAGAAGCAAACAGATATTAGCACAAAACGTCCTTTTCAGTGAAAATGCTGACTTTTGGGAACTCTTAAAAATGCTTCCAAAAGCAGGTTAAACTGCAAAAGAAATTCAGAAGAATCATTTCAAACATGATGTACTTTAAAGGTTGTGCAGTCCCTAAGGCAGTAGCATCGGTATCACTTAGAAGCATTCAGGTTCCACCCCAGGCCTGACAGATCACACATCAGCAGGGTGAGACGCAGCTCTGTGGGTTTTACAAGCACCGCCCCCCAGGCGATTTTAATGCTGCTTCTATGGGGATCACACTTTGAGAATCATTATGATTTTTACTAAATCAATAGTATGTGCTATAGTAGTTTCAAAAAATCACTTTCATCAGTATCATTACTGATCTTGCTAGAAAAGTATTGGGAAACTTATGCTCACAATGGTTAATACAAGTTTTCTTATGTTAGGGTTTTCTAGAGAAACAGAACCAATATAGTGTGTGTGTATGAATAAATAAAAAGATTTATAAATAAAAGGATTTATTACAACCACAGTACTGGTTACCCCCAGCCCAGTGGTTCTGAAATTGTGGTCTGAGGAATCTGTGGGGATCTGCAAGACATTTTCAGATAATCTACCACACAAACTATTTTCATATTAACAGCTTGTTAATAGCACATTCTTTGCCTTTGTACTCCTACATGTGTCCCGTGGTTTTCCAGAGGCTGGTTGATGACACATAGTATCACTTCACTGTTGGATGCAGAAGCAGGCATGAGAATTCATCTGCTCTCTGCTAAGCTACACATTAAGGAGATTTGAAAAAGTGTAAAACAGTGCCACTTTTCTCATCACTTTTTTGATTTGGAAAATGGTGTAGTTATTTTTCATACACTTTGTGTTTTAGATTAACACAGTTTTTAAAAGGTGAATTAATAAATTAAAGACTTTAAGTTTGATTTCAAATATGATATTAATAGATATAACCCACATAAATAAAAATGCTCTGGGGTTCTTAATTTTTAAGACTGTAAGAACCCTGAAATCAAATAATTTGAAGACCATTGCCCTAATCATGTCAGTCCTTGGCTGATGTAGAAATTAAACTCCAATGCAGGGAATACTGAGAGTAGCTTTGAGTATTTTGGCCTGGATCAGACTTCTAGATTTGATTGAATTTGTCCAAATCTCTGAATGAAACTGAGATCAGACTGATCTCTAGATGTGGAATAATCTATTATTAACTTACATACAGCCTACATAAGGATACTTTATATTAAGAAAAAAGAAGAAATAGCAGCATTACCATCTTTTTTTTGCTTTGTGGATGATTTTGCTAGAGGACTGATGATGGGATGATGCTGGTAGGAGGTTCTGCTTACTGAGTACTTACCATGCACTTGGCACCTACGTCATCTAACTTATTTTAATTCTCAATCATGTGAATAGGTTCTTGGGTTATGCCTAAAAGAGAGTAGGTAGATTTCCCATTATTATGCCACAGTTGCAGAGCTGGATTGTGAACCCACGTCTTTCTGATTGCAAAACCTATTGCTTTTTGCTGTGAAGAAAAGCAGTGACAATTGCAAACTTGACTTTAAGAGTTATTGAACATGTATGACTTGTCAAGAACTGGGCTAGGTCTGAAAGCGGCACAAAAGGAGCATAGAGCTTGACCCTTGCCCCCAGCAATCTAACAGGGTAGATGTCTTACAGACTTCAAATAATTAGAAAATAATATGATTTACCTGGGGATTGAGAATACAAGAGTGGATGGACATTATCAATGCAATATATCTATATACATCTATATCTATATATCTCTCTATATATCTATATATCTGGAAATACATATTTATATATATCTGGAAATATATATATATATATATATATATATATATATATACACACACATATGTACATATGGAAATATCTT